CCAAATGAGTTTCAATGTCAAAGGATTTTTCTATCTTTTGTAAAATGGTCACAGTGTGTATAAATTCTGAATCCCTTAAATTTGTTCGTTTCCAACATGTTTTGGCTGCTGAGGTAGGTGCTCAGCATGCTTACCCAGAGATTGTTCTGCCAATGTCGGAACATCTACCCGCGAAGCTCTCCAAGACTGAAATGACTTCCATTTTCTGCAATGGATCGCTTCAAGTCATGACATCAGAGCCATAAGCATGGTGGGGGCAACTGGGACTTTGACCTAGTTCGCCAAATTTTGAGGGGCCTGATAGCATTTGCAGTCTTGTTGTTTACTTGTTTTTCAGTCATGTCTGACTCTTCTTGACCCTTTTGGGGTTTTCTTGGCAGAGATACTGGAATACTTTGCCATTTCCTTCTCCAGCTCATTTTACAGATGAGGAAACTGAGGCAAACAGGGTTAAGTGACTTGCCCAGGGTCACACAGCTAGTAAATGTCTGAGGCCATATTTGAACTCAAGAAGATGAGTCTTCCTGACTCCAGGACCAGCACTCTATCCACTGCGCCATCTTTAGCAACATAGAAACAGCAGAGTTTAGCACCTTATAAGAAGAGTAATGAGTGAAAATAGGAAGAGATCAGATGGGTAAGCTTTTCCTTTCTGTACTTACTCTGCCACTAAGGGTACACTTTCAGCCATTTGCCATGGCCCTGGTTTGTGGTACACTGTCCTCTCTCCCATCTCCACACAAAAATTCCTAGCCATCACTGCACAAAACTAAACCGTGTGCTAATACATAGCTAGACTTCTGAATTAGACTATCTCTCAGGAAACTCCATCAGATGTTTGTGCTCACTCAACAAAGAGCTGCAACTTAGTGGAGTGAAAATCAATTGACATTATGAGGAGGAAATGATAGAGAGGAAAAGGGATGGCAGATAGGATGAGAAGGATGGGGAAAATCCTTCTCTTAATTTGTGTTCTAGAGCCTGCCTCATCTAGGATCCAGTACAAAGTTGCTTTGGCCATGACACTGAGGGGGAGAATAAAGGTCAGGGGGCTCTTCTCTGAGGCACCCACCAGATTGGCAGTGCTAGGGGACTTAGGGCCACTATTTACATACAATACAAAGGTAGCTTTACAAACTGGGCAAATGGCCAGTTTGTATCTAACCATTAGTTTAAGAGAGCTGGGAGGCCATTTTGGAAAGCATTGCCAAGGAAATACCCAGGGCAACAAGGTAAGTGTGGGGGTAGAGCGCAAGGCCTCCCATAGATGAAGGAATAGACAGGGTGTATGTAGTCACTAAGTAAAATAAATCTTACAGACTGTCATCAAGTAAGTCTCTGCTTGTACCCAGACATTGATAATCATAACACATAGCAGTCTTCATATATTTTATTTACTCTGGCTTAATTTCCTCATTTTAAGCAGAGAAAGCTTGGATTGGGCAACTCAGCAGAAGGCATTACAATATCTAGGTGTTAGGAGCTCCAGGGATTGACTCCTGCTGTTCTTAGAATATTTTCCATTTCATTTGGCTGCTCCAGGATCATTGGGCTGCAGTTTATGCTAAATATTGACTCAGTCATAACCGGTTCCTGCTTATGTTGAAGGCATTCGGATGCGAGGAAACTGAATGACTAGGAGACACTGTGGACTGCATTACATTTCCAAGCCTTCCTATAATTACTTGTGTACACTTGTTTTTACCACATTCAGCTGGGAAAGGCAGATGTTTTCCTTTGCTGTTTTTCCTAAGCATTTGCCTTTTTTTCCTCTCCTACTTAAAATTCATCTACCAAAATCCTCATGAGTTGTGGAAGCTCCTAGAATCTGAGCCTGCAGAGCTCAATCTTTGGGTAAGCCACAGAATTTTAGAGCTGGGAGCCTTCCCACCCACCCAATACCTGAAAAAGAATGTCTACCACAAGTTATCTGACAAGGGGTTATATAGCCTTGGCTTGAAGACTTTCTGTGAGGGTGAATTCACTACTTCCCAAAGTAGTCCAGTCTACTTTTGGACAATTCCAGTAGGCATTTCCTAGCTAGATCTCTCTCTCTCTCTCTCTCTCTCTCTCTCTCTGTCTCTCTGTCTCTCTCTGTCTCTCTCTGTTTCTGTCTTTGTCTCTCTTTCTCTTCTCCTTTCCCCCCAAGATTATCTCCCATTTACACTATATATGTATATCTATATATCTATACATACACAGACATATCTTACATGGACATAGTTGTTTATATGTTATCTTCCCCATCAGAATGTTAGATTTAAGTTTCTTCACCATCTTGGTTATCCGCCTCAGGGTGTTATGTAGTTCATCAATGTCCTCCCTAAATTGTGCCCCTCAGACCTGATCATTGAATACTTTATATGTGATCTGACCAGGGCAGAATACAGTGGAGTATCACCTCCTTATTACTTTCAATGCAGCCCAATACTGCATTAGTTTTTTTCCCCTCCTCTGCCATTACCATTGACTCATACTGAGCTTTTGGTCCAGCAGGTTGTGCCAAACTAGAAAGGCCTGGAATATGGGCTTACAGATGGATTGTATGCCAGTTGCCTGAAGAACAGCTTGGCTAGGTCTGGGCAGCCTCCTCACTAGGTTGGCTGAAGATTAATAAATCTTGGGACCATAGCAACTTCCAAAGATCATCTATTAAGTAATATAGAGAGGGTGAAATCAGCTTTGGCAGAGGATATACACATGCAAAATCATGGCTCTTTGAGGTAAAATTTATATATGGCTAATGCCTTTTAAAAATGTAATTTGGTATATGCACAAAGTACATATTTATTGTTGTGCTATAAAGAATTGCGAATATAGAAAATCCAAATGCAGCCCTTGGCCAAAAGGCCAATTATATGTGACTCTGTTCATTGGTGGAAACTGATTATTGTATGAAGGGCAGGCAGTGTTGGTGCTATAGTACATCTTCATTATTATCCTATAAGAAATCGGGAATATGGAAAATCTGGATGTAGCCCTTGACTCAAAGGGCCAATTATATGGGACTCTGTCTTCATTGGTGGAAACTGATTATTGTGTGAAGGGCAGAGCTGGAGAGAAGAGAGATTCTGATTTTCTGCCTACTAGCTTTAGGAAAGATGATGTAACATTCCAACTTGTCTTCAGTTGTCTGAAGGGAGAGGGAGACTCTGGGAAGAAGCTGACATGAGAGGAGTTGGTAATCTCTGTTATATCTCTGTCCCCAGCTTGCTATACCACCTACTTCAAGGAATTTCCCTGAGAGATGGGATAGCATGAGATCTGAGACTCTCTCTCTTGGTTGAGCTGAAATACCTTGCTCCCAATCAAAAAGCTCATTCATTCTGTATTGTCTGGTAGGTATTCCATGCATACCTTTTCTGATTTCTGTCTTGCTATATACTTAGATAAATGGGTTTGTATCTTATTTGCTTTGTATGTTCATTGTGGAACTGGCATTTTGTGGAAAGGGGGTGAAGCCTTGTTTATATTGCTTGGGTCTCTCTTTTCCCATTAAGGCATAGAGATCCGGTGTGTAGCTTGAACCTAAAATTTTACTTCCCCTAGACTAATAATATTTAAGGGACTAGATAGATATAATTCTAGTCCAGTACCCCCTTTCTCTGGGGAGAGCAGAAGGGTCAGCATTTGGCCTCAACCTCTTACTTCCCCTCCTGGGAGGAATCAAAGTCGTCACTGGAGAAGGATGGGAGAGATGCTAGAGATATCTATTCTTGCCTCCTCATGAGCCACATCTAGATAAATCTAGGTGGGCACACATAACCTACATGGGTACAAACAACAACGTAGCACCCACCATGTCAGCACAGGAAGACACAGTAAGTGCTTCAGAGTAAGGAAAGCAGAACCATTAGGATGACATAAACAGTGACTACAATAATGTAGTGAATAATAAAAACAAAAAAAACCCCTCAGAATTCTAATGAATGGCAATGAACATTTTCAGTGCTGGAGGGCTCTCAGTGGAGGAGGAGGGACTATGGATGTGGAGCACTGTACATACACACTCAGATCCAATAGCTTTGTCCTTTGGTTTTGCTTGAATGTCTTTCTTTGTTATAAGAGTTACAATGGGAGTTAGGGGTAGGATTGGGTAGAAGGAAATGACTGTGGTAAAAGGGAAAGGAAGGGAATACTCATTTATTTAGTGCCAACTATGTGGCAGGAGCTTTATAAATATCATCTGATCATCACAAGAATCCTGCAAGGCAGGTGCTATTATTATCCCCATTTTACAGTCAAGGAAACTGAGGCAGACAGTGGGTTACACAGGAAGTGTCTGAGGCCAAATTTGAACTCATACCTTCCTGATTTCAGATGTTTGCTCTATCCACTGTACCACCTAGTTAATTAATCCTTGTATACAAACACAAGGCAACAGACTTTTTTTTAAAAGATGTAATTCATCAGAAAGTGTACTTTTTTTTAAATAAGAAAAAAAAAAAACTAGGGATGGATTGACATAGTTTAAGCAATTTCTAGTGCCTGGTCTTTTCAACCTACTCGGTTAGTGAAACATTTATATTTATAACCAACCCATTGGGGGCGTTATTCCTGAGTGGGAAGATGTGAAAGAATTTTTTTGTTGTTGTTGTTCAGTTGTCTTCGTTGACCCCATTTGGGGTTTGCTTGTCAGAGATGCTGGAGTGGTTTGCCATTTCCGTCTCCAGCTCATTTTACAGACGAGGAAAATGAGGCAAACGGGGTTAACTGACTTGGCCAGGGTCACACAGTTCCTAGGTGTCTGAGGGGAGATTTGAGCTCAGGAAGATGTCTTCCTGTTTCCCACTGCACCATTTAGTGAGAGCAGGTTGAAAACATGAGGATTATTTCCTTAGAAACCAGGGGTGAGAGAGAGGTACCAGTGAAATCACAGGTCCACGGGCTGTCCTCCATAGCCTGGCACGCCTACTAAACGCTTGTTGATTGATTCATTGACTAATCTAAGCAAAATGCTTCTATCACTGGCAAATGCACAGCACACAAGAGGAAGCTGGAGAGCACATGGGGCAACTTTTCATCTGAACTAGGCCTGAGGCTTTCTCTCTTTGGTCGTTCATTCATTTCCCTGAGAGTTACTGATTTTTAGGAGAGAAGCTGGCTGCCCTCCCTCCACACAAGGGAGCGATGTGATCTGAGGTTAGCCGGGCTGCTCCCCGCAAGGGCAGCCAGGCATAAGGGATGCATTGAGTTTCAGCTCAGGCAAATATTTGGTCAGCGCCTTCCTCCAACAGGACACTCCGAGCTAGGGGCTCCCAGAGCTCGGGGAGAGGGAATGCAAGGCAGGAGGGACAAAACTGCAATTGAGTAAGGTAAGACTCACCAGCTGCCAGTCCGGGAGGCACTTCTGCTGTAGCAGCGCTTGGTCCTGAAGCGTCCTGCCCCGCTCCCGCTGCCCCCCACCCCGCCTTTCCACCCACAAGACGCAGCCAGCCTCATCAATTTCAGCTACACCCACTTTCTCCCGGTTCTACACTGGCTCCCCTTTCCTCCTTCCCTCGGGTCAAATATCCTTTCCCTACCCACCCCTTTCCCTCCCCTCCCTTCCACTCCACCAGTCACCCCTTGGGAACCCCCGCCCACGGGCCCAAGCTCCTCCCCCAGTCGCGATTCCCTGCCCCTGCCCCTCTCCAAGGAAATAATTCTCACTTCTTCAGTTTGCTTTCTCTGCCGCCTGATTTCTTCAAGCCCTTTGCTGTGCTCTCCCCCCTCACCCATGGCCAGGAGCCCTAGCCCAAAGTGCAAGATCCTCCAATGCCCTACTGCCCCAGCCCTGGCCCAAGAGCGCTGGGCTCCGAAGGTGGCCTTCTCCTTCCTTCCCAAGACCTCGATGACCTGAGACTCGGATTGCGGGGTCCCCTCCATTCCTGCTCGTCCTTCAAAGTTTCCACCGGTCTCCTCGCCTCGACTTTGCAATTCCAGAAACAAGGGACAACTTAACTATTTAACAGCTGTTTAACAACTCTGCTCGGAGTGGAAAAAGAGCTTCTAGTCTGCGCCGTTCCCAGCTGGGAGGCTCTTGCACGTCCGGGGTGGAATCCGCTTAGGGTTTGCTCTCTACAGAGCGCACCCCAGCAGCATGGCTTGGGGTGTTAGCTCCCCAAAGTGAAGGGCGTGCTTTTCCTGCACTTCTGGGGATGAGGCCAAGTTCCCTTTACGCAAATCTTCCTGGAGGTGCCTGATGGGGGCAAAATCGGGGATTTCCTTTGTAGCCAGAGACAAAACAAATTGTTCCAGGTCTTAACGGTGTTTTCTGTGTTTCATCCATAGCTTACCCAGCCTGTTTACCCAGCTTTTGAAATCTTGGCCTTTATCCTCAGTTACGGCCTGTCCTTTCGGTAGCTTCATACGATTATCACAGATTGACACCTGGTGGTGAAAATGGGAGATCCTATGACAAAGGCTACACATCTCCTGACACAGATGATAAACCTTAAAGGTGCAAAGTGAGTTATCTGTCTGCTATCTTTCTTTCTTCCCTCTTTCTTTCTCACTCTTTTCTTCTCTACACACAAAATAAACACACATATGTATATATGTATGTGTGTATATATCTCACTCTTCCTAATATAAGTATATGCACATACCCACATATATGTATATGTTATATGTGTACACACACACATATTTGGACACGACCAAGTAGGAATTTGTTTTACATGACTACATATTTGTTACATCGGTTTTGTTTTTCTTTCTTTTCCAATAGGGGTGAAGTAGGAGGGAGAGAAGGCAGATTTTGGTTCATTTTTAAAAATCAATTTGAATTAAAAAGAAAAATTTTAAAAAGATAAAGAAAATGGGAGTCCTCTGAGGCTAAGGGGTAGGAAGCAGAAGCAATTTTGCACCCAGATTGACCAAACAAAGAGAAGCACCCCAAACTAATGAAAGTTAAAAACAAATAAACAAAAGCAGAAGCAAAAGCATTTGGAGAAAACTGAACACCTGTTTGTTTCCAAACCCATCTTTTTTATAGCCAGGCAAACCGCTACAATGTGTTTAAGTCTTGTTGAATTTGGAAATTTAAAGTTTATAGGGTCTTAGAGCTGGAAGGAACCTTATAAGTCAGTGAATCTAATCCCCTCATTTTAACTGAATGGACACCTTAGGTGACTAGGATCTGAAGCCAGGTTCCCTGATTCCAAATCCAGCGTTCCTTCCAGGGCACCAAGATCTAGAGATGTATACCCTGTAACGCTATAAAGTTAGCAAACCAGCAGGGGGCCTACTGTTGGATTTCAAATCTACCCCTGTGATTTGGGGCAAATCTCTTTTACCCCTCCCTCACCCAGGGCCTCAGTTTCCAATCTGTAAATCCGAGGGGGCCTGACTCAATGTTCTCTAAGGTATCTTTCAGCTCAAATTCCCATAACTATATAAATGAAAGGTAAATGTAATGTCAGTGACTCATTCTACATGTTGTACTTGAGTAAAGCACCCTTTCAATTTCATAATCTCTATTCTAGATGTAGGATTAGTATAGTAGGATAAAATGACAATTACAATGGTTCCCTTACCCTGCCCTAAGTTAAAACTTCATATCACTTCTTGATATACTCATTAAAATAAAGTTATGCATTTAGGGAAAGCTAGGTGGTACAGTGGATAATGTGCCAGCCCTGGAGTCAGGAAGACCTGAGTTCAAATCCAGTCTCAGGACACTTACTATTTATGTGATGCTGGGCAAGTCACTTAACCCTATTTGCCTCAGTTTCCTCATCTGTAAAAGAGGTGGAGAAGAAAATGGCAAACCACTTCAGTATCTTTGTCAAGAAAACCTCAAATGGGGTCATGGAGAGTTGGACATGACTGGATTTAGTTTAATTTTTTGAAATATTTTCCTTTGTTTTTTGAATAGGTTCTAGACATATGATCAGTGTTGGAAACTCCTGGAGTGAAAATTTTCTACTGATAGAGAGCACTAAGAGGTGAGCACCTTGTCCATGGCCTCTTGGCTAATCTATATCAAAAGCTGAGTTGAACCTCTGTTTTATCTAACTCCAAGGCTGGTCCCAATCTACCATATTGCACTGGCTCTCTGAGCTTCTTAGAAAGTAGATAAGTGGGTTTGATTTTTTGTTTCTTTTAAGCTCAGCAGGCTTCTGTGACAATTAAACCTAGTTAAGACAACCAGTTTATAGACATTACGTAACTCTAATGAGAATTTTGGGCAGGAAGCCTGTGTTATTCATTGGCATTTCTGCCATGAGGCATTGGGGTAGGATGTTAGTAGAGGAGATTCTGGGTTCTCAAAGGCTAACAAAAGCTCTAGCTGACTCTACCAAACTTGAAAAATTTCCAGCACAGTCACAGATTGGCTACTGTTCAGGCCCTAGCCACATCCCTAGAAGTTGGCCGTTTAGTAACTAATTTTTTGAATGTGATGACCTATGGGGTAGTCAAGAGATTGGATGGTCAAGCCATTTAATCCCGGTTTCTCGTAAAATGGAAATATTTATAAAAATAACATCTAAGGGTAATTATGAGTAGCAAATGAGATAATATGTGTAAAACACTTTGCAAACCTTCAAGGGCTATGTGTCAGTTATTATCAGTGTAAAACAAAACAGATAATTTAAAAATATTAATTATATTAGTTACAAATATTATAATTGTAAAACAGAATAGATAAAAATACAAAATGACTCTCAGTCTTTTGTGTCCCAGAATGATGGCAGAATGGAAAAGGAGGCAGAGGATGCTAAGAATCACACAGTTCTTGGAGTTCCCATAGACATTAACTGTTGGTATCCAAAATTCCTGTCTTATTTGGTACAGATGCTATGGAAAGTACATTTCTAATTGATACAAGTTTCAGGGAAGACCAAGTGGAAAGTATTCGTTGTTGGTTTGGATCAGTATCAATAGCACATACTTTTCAAAACCAGTATGGCTTTCAGTGGATAGTGTTCTGTGCGGTGAGACAAACATTAAAAAACAGGGTTATAGCTAGCAATTCTGGCCCCTGATGCAAGCACAATTCATCTTCAAATACACTTCTGCCGCTGGAAACTTTTTCTGCTGAAGTGTATGTATTGTGAGTACCCTCTACATTTTAGTACCCCCTGGGACAAAACCCACCTTGTCCCAGCCTAGTTAAGGCTCTGGTTGAAAAAATTACACACACACACGCGCACACACACACACACACACACACGTATGTATATGTGTGTATATGCATATATCCATATTGACCATTTGTATATGTATAATATATGTATGTTTCTATAAACCTTTAGCAGCAAAGAATTTTTAAAACATTCAACTTTATCACTTACGTGAAGAAAAGTGGATAGCTTGTATTATTTTTTGTAATCAATACATCACAGTGGCAGAACTACATTGGACTGGGGCTAGTAATCTCTCTGCTACTGTTCTCATTTTATGCTGCAAACACACTTTTCCATCATAACTCAGCTGCACTGTTACTTCAAGAAATGGATTCCATGGTGATGAGAGTCTAGGCTTTGGATGCTGAGCAATTGACTGGCTTTGTACCCTTAGAAAAATCATTTCCCTTCTCTTGGCCTCAGTTTCCTCATCTGTAAGACGAGAGATCAGAGATTTGGAACTGGAATAGAACCTAGAAGCCACCAAGTCCAACTTTCTCCTTTTCCAGGTGAAAAAAATGGAAGCAGAGTGCTGAAAAGACTGCTGTTGCCCAGGATGGCATATAACCCCAAAGTATCTGAAGTGAGATTTCCTGCTTGATCTAGGTTTCTCCTAGTTTTAACCTTCTATATACTTTTTACCACAGCTAAGAATGAAAATTTAACCGTTTAGACTTTTAAAAATTGTTCACAAAATAGTTCAGTGTTTAGATGGTCAGACTGTCATGTTTAACATTATTTGAATATGATGGGAAATTGACTCTCCTTATGAACTGCTGGCCTGTCAAAATAGACCTGGATTTCCAGTGGATGGATGCTAAATAATACACAAAGCTCTTGTCACCCATTTATCACTTACTACCTTTTGTTCATTCTCATTTTCATTCCCTTTAATAGTCTGGATTTTGAATTTTGTCCCTCACAAGGCTCTATATAAATTATTTCAAAGAGGGGCAGTTTTGTTAGCTTCCTAGACATCAAGTTGTTTTCATCAGACACAAGTACTCTAAGCACTACGTAATTATGCTTTTCTCCAGGAAGTGTTGGTCTCTGGAATCATCAGTTAAGTATTTGGAATCATCAGCATAATTGAACCCAGGCTTTTTGACAAGGCTGTTGTTTTAGCATGACTACAATAAAGGGGGGGGGTGAAGAGATGGTATCTGTTTCTGATTTATTATGGATGAGGCTAAATGTGCCAGATTTTTGAGACAGGATGCAGAAAAGATTCACTGGGTATTTAGAAAAAAAGTGTCTGCGTTTCACAATTTTGCATAGGCCCTTGCTTCTGATATGTGTGTAAAGAATTGTCTCTTTGTGGCCCTTTTCAGATAGGACATTTTAATGCTGAAAAAATATTAAAAAAGATTTAAACTATTTTAACTATTTAACTAAACTATTTTAACTATTTAACTAAACTATTTTTAAACTATTTAAACTATATATAAACTATTAAAACTATTAAAAGATAGAAGGAGCAAGCTAGGTGACACAGTGGGTAGAGTATCAGGCCTGGAGTCAGGAAGACTCATTTTCCTGAGTTCAAATCTGGCCTCAGACTAGCTGTGTGACCCTGGGCAAGTCACTTAACCCTGTTGACCTTGGTTTCCTCATCTATAAAATGAGCTGGAGAAGGAAAAGGCAAACTACTCTAGTATCTTTGCCAAGAAAACCCCAAATGGGGTCACAAAGAGCCAGACGTGACTGAAAACGACTGAACGACAACAACAAATTAAAAGTTGTAAGATATTGCAGTTATTTTAGAAGGGCATTTTGACACTTGAAAGAAACCACAATGTATGTTTGAAGAAACAGCTTTCAGATGGGATTTTAGTAGATTGGTATATAAAATTAATCATAGTGTAAATATGAAGACTTAAAACACCTCATGAAAGATGTCGGATCACACCCTGTTGGTTTATGAATGGTGTAAGAGTTTAAAGGGGTGAAGAAAGAACTTTTATTTATTAAAAACTGGGTATAAACTGTAAAACCTGTGAGGATAAAGAAACAGCGTCCAGGACACCAAGTGAGATGTCGGACTGAGGTAATACTTTTTCATTGTCCTTTTGAGAGTGATTGTAAGTTGAAAGGACTTGTAAATACTACATTAGTTCCAATATAGAAGGGAAAACGATTTGCCCAGTGGAAGAGCAGCGAGGATCGGCAGATAAGCACATAGTAGAGAAGTGTGCCAATGTTCCTGAATGGACCAATGACGTCCAAGCCTTTTTCAATCCAGAACAGTGAGTTACCCCACGCACATGAGTTTTCTTCCTTCATAGGTTTCCTTAACAGGTTCTCATGTGGGTGTGTTCACTCTCAATCAGAAAGCAAACATTTTTTAACTCCGTACTATGCTCCCGGCATTGTGCTAAGCTCTGGGGATATAATAGGAGGCGAAAGAGTTCCTGCCCTCAAGGAGCCTAGGATTTAGAGCTGGAAGAAACCTTGGAAGCCATTTAGTCAAACTTCCTTATTTTACAGGTGAGGAAACCGAGACTCAGAGAGGTTAAGTGAGTGGTCTAGGGTCGCACAGCAAGTAAATGTCAATGGCAGGATTTGAACCCAGGTATTCCAGACTAAGAGTCCAGCACTTCACACTAACCCTTTCTTCAGTTTATTTTTGATTTATTGACTAAAGAGAGACCATAGGATCTTAAGAAATTAGCACTACTATTCCCTTGCTCTGGAGGACAAGTCTTAGTTTATGTGAGCTAAGTAAGGGTGAGTTCAGAAGAGTAGCCTAGGCTGAGAGGGCAGGGAAGGAGAGGCATCAGCTCCGTCCTTGATCAAGTATCCTTTGTTTCCCTTCACCCTTTGTCTGCAGGAGGACCTTCCAGCGTCAAAGGGTGCAGAAGATGTTGGGCTTTCCACCTTCCCATTGATGTCCTAAGTGACATCCCTAGATCAGTTGGAGGCAGCGTCTTCAATGGGATCCAAGGACTAAATGGATGTACGTTCCCCCTACTTCATGGTAACTTTTCAACCACCCTGGGGGGTGGGGAAAAAAGGACTTTCAGCAACTGGGAGGTGAGCTATTTCAGATGTGCTCTTCAACCTTGAGCCTACTTTCCCGTGGCCTCTGCATGTACTTGAGGGAGAATGTATCACAGATGTGTAGGGGGATGTTTTGTTCCCATTATACAACCTTAGTAAATACCCTTTTCTTTTTTTGTGGGGGGAGGCAATTGGGGTTAAGTGACTTGCCCAGGATTTACACAGCTAGTAAGTGTGTGAGGCCAGATTTGAACTTAGATCCTCCTGAATTCAGGGCCAGTGCTCTATCCACTGTGCTACCTAGCTGCCCCTGTAAATACCCCTTTCTTAAAAAAAAACAACTACTTAAGGTTGACTAATTTGATTCTCAACTGGTTCTTGAGAACCAGCTGATTCTCAAGAAACAAACCAGTGGAGGCTTGAGCTGATGGCATTAGAGAATCACCTCTGATTTCTTAGGGGGACCCCAAGAGCCCCGAGGGGAAGATGTAGCCAGCCTAGCTAGAGTGGGAGTGAAGTTGGGATAGGGATTTTCAGAGCTTACATGGGCTACATACAGAAAGTAAATATAGGGGGCAGCTAGGTGGCACAGTGGATAGAGCATTGGCCCTGAAGTCAGGAGGACCTGAGTTCAAATGCGGCCTCAGACCAAACACTTGACACTTACTAGCTGTGTGACCCTGGGCAAGTCACTTAACCTCAATTGCCTCACTAAAAAAAAAAAGTAAATATAGAGTAGTTGGGGGGTGGAGAGAACACTTCCAACTGGAGGGATTAGAGTTTGGACACCAAGTACTCAAGAACTAGGAGGGTGCACAGTTTTTCCTATCCATCCTCTCTATCTTAGGCATGGCTGGTAATTAGCTTATGAGAGAGGTTCCATAAAGAGATTCTTAAGGGAGAGAGTTTGGGAGGAATCGACATGCTTTTTCATTTCCGGAACAATTGGGGGGTGTCCCCCTCCCAGTGTATGAGAGAGAACAGTTTTGTGACCATTATAGCTGATCTCTGATGTTGGTGACTGGGGCTATCTTGGAGATGGAGAAGGGTGGGCTCCTCTTTCCTGCTGAAATTTTAGTGATGCTAAACGCTGGCAGGAATAGTAACCAAGGCCAATAGCTTTAGTGAAGAGTGGTCTCCAGTCTCCTCGGGAGACAAAGGGACATCTGTGTCTCTGGGCCAATAGGGTAACTGGGGGTTTTCCCTTCTGCAGAGGTGAAACCGAGGCCAACAAAAGTTTTGCTCTGAAGACTGAGTCCTGGTGCCATCTGCTGGGAATCGTCACAACTGCAGAAACATCTTCTATTGTGGAACTGAACATTCTTTCAGAGTGTTGCTCATTGGACCATGTCTTTATTTTCTAAGAGACCTCATGCGAGCTCAATTTTTTTCCCCTTTCATGTTTCAGGAACATTTTCCTTCTTTAATTTTATGAACTATGTGCCTGAAAGAGAGGGAGAGTGTTAAGGGGCAAGGGGAATTGTTGATGATATAACTTAGTGGTATTAGGTATTTTCCCAAATTTTGAGTGAGGGTTACTAGCTGGAGAATTAAGAAATTCCTCCCAACGTGAACCTTTATCTCTTTGTATTGTGAGAACATATGATATGAGTTACAGTAATTTTAAGGGCAATGGAAAAATAAATCTGTTTCTTTTTTTGAATCCTTTTTTTCTGAAATTAGACCACTCTGACTCACTTTTACTTTTTTTTAGCTTCTTATCTTTTTTAAAAAAATATTTTATTTACAATTCAGGGAACAAAACAAACATTTCCATAACGCAGTACAATAAAAAAGATGATTGCACGGGAAACTACAAATCTACCATGTACAACTTGCTATTCCCTCCAAATATACATCAAAGTTATAATATAAATTTTTTTCCCCTTTTTTTCTTCCCTCCCTCCACCCTAGAGATGGCTACCATTAGACACAAATAGGTATATATTTGTAAAATTGTTCTATGCATACTTCTATTTATCAGTTCTTTTTCCGGATGCAGGTAGCATCTCTTTTCAGATGTCCTTTATTTTTAATTTGTACATTTATAATAGTCAAAATGATTTAGTTGCTCAAAATCATTCTCAAAACAGTATTGCTGTTACTTTGACTCACCTTTCCTATACAATATGCCCTTGCTTACTTCAGTTCAGCCCTCTTGGGATTAGGAGCTTCCCAGAAGAGCGGAATCCAAAGTACACACAGATTTATTTCCCAACAATGATGATAAGGTTCTCTGTGAGCTAGAAGCTTGTTTTATCTTCATCAAGAAACATGTAAAATCCTTATTTACAGAGGGCCCATATTGCTTCCATAAATCAATCAAAAATATTAGTAAGCACTCCATGTGAGTTGAGCACTGTAGTGTTAGACACTGTGGAAGATACATGAGAAAATTAAAAAAAAATTCCCTGTCCTCAAGGAGCTGCTTATCTAATTGGGGAGATAAAAAAAGGAATTAAATAGGACAATTAAAAACAATTAAAATTATATAGTTAGGAGCTAGATTATGATATCTGTAGGACTGCAGGTTGTTCCGAAGGGATGAAAGTAAGCCACATGATTGCAAGGGCATTTATAGATGACTGATTGACTAGATGAAATTTATAGAAGGACAAGTAAAAAACAAAATACCTTTGACTGCATTCCTGAGTATTACAGTGGAAAGAGTCAGAGAACCTGTGTTCAAATTCTATCTTTCTAGTACTTTGTGACCTTAGCTGTTACTCTACCTTTCTGTATCTCAGTTTCCTCATCTGAAAAATGAAGAAGTTACAATAGATGGCCTGTGCAGTCTCTTGCCTATCTTTTAAAAAATGATATTTTGTATTGTATCTTTTTAATTTTACCTTCCTTTCTGAATATATTCTTTCCCTCTCCTCTGCTCAAAAGCAAAAAAAAAAATGAAAAAAGAAAGGGGGGGGGAAGCAATTTAGCAAAATCAACCAACAGTAACTTCTGCCTGATACCCATAGTGGGCAGCTAGGTGACTCAGTGGATACAGCACTGGACCTGGAGTTGGGAAGACTCATCTTTCTGAGTTCAAATCTGACCTCTCAGACACGTACTATCTGTGTTACCCTGGGCAAGTCACTTAACCCTGTTTATCTCTGTTTCTTATCTGTAAAACGAGCTGGAGAAGGAAATGGCAAACCATTCCAATATCTCTGTCAAAGATCAAAAGTATGGGAAAAAAATCCCCCGTCAACTTGCTACTGCTGTGTGGGTCCCCTAGAAAGTTATCTCAGATTCAAGATACTTTGATGATTCCCAGCTGCTCAAACCCAGAGCTCATGGGCTCTGAAGCTAATGTTTCCTTCTGCTATTCATCCAGAGAATAAATTCAAAGCAAAGACATTTCACAAAATAGTGGAGAAAGAAAAGTAACAATAGAATATTTTCCTTCATATGGGGCATATTTTTCTACAAAAGTGGAATATGCATACCATCAGTGGGAGAGTGGACACACATAGAGAGTGTGCATAAGGGTAGAATCACATATGGCCAGACATAGTTCATGTCTCCAACACTGTGGGGCTGCTGCTATTTTCTGCTGCTCCATCTCTGTCTGTCTCTGTCTCTGTGTCTGTGTCATTATCTCTGTCTCTCTCCTTCTCTCCTCCCTACTGGACACTGCACTCTGAACCTGGCTGTTACCTCACATAGTTTCTGTGCTGTGCCTCCCCACCTCCTGTAAGCTTCCTGCCCTCCTGGGTTACTCCCTGTTTCTTTCTTCAGCTACATCCCTCAGCTGAAGTGCTGCCTCTTCCCAATAAGAGAAATGTTTTTCGCCATCTTTCTTTTAGCTTAGCCCCCAGAGCTTACGCTTCTGTCCTTGCACACCTAGTCCCTGGGCTAAGAATGAAAACTTTGGCTGCTTTCTTTCCAAGGGATGTGGGAATCTTTTAGTTCCCGGCATCTTTGCATCCATTGGCCAAACTCTTTTGGAATTCTGAACATCAACCTAGCTAATTAGAACTGACAGCCTAAAATGAACAATATCTCTCTGTCTGATAGGCCCCTGTCTAAGTTATGACTAGGAAGTTCCTTGGTCTCCTGTCATTTCCCCATTGCCAACTGGTCTGTTCCCCATCAACCAACTGGGCTGACTCAAGGTTTGTTCCTTGATAGTTTATGTTCAATATTGGAACAAAATGAGACACTTAGAAATCATTCAACAATTAACAAAAGGATCTATTTAATCATATAAGGAAAAGGCTAGTTAATCACTTCCTGGTCAACAGCCCTAGCCTTTACTCTCCAGAACCAAATAAGACATGAAGATAGTCAATGCCTTTTAAAGAAAAATTAGCCTAAGTCGCAGGGGAAAGGGGTTAAGATATTGTCTCTACTACACCAAACTTATCCCCCACTTAAATAATTTCATAGAATGCTTTATAGCATTTCACAGACTTCAAAAGACTATTTAGTTCTGGAGAATGAAGGTTTTGCTCAGGTCTTTATATCCCTTCGGTTTGCCAAGCAAAAGAATCTGGCAAATCACCAAAAAACTAAGCTGAGAAGGCCAAGTCATTGTCTTTCTCTTGGCCCATTGTCCTTCTTTTATCATGTGTATCTATCTACATATACAAACACACATATGTATACATGGATATGTGTGTATGCATATATATGTGTTATATGTGTATATATTATACACACACACACACACGTATGTATGTCTCCACAAATCTTACAGGTTTAAGGATATCCTCCATTCAAAAAGTGTTAGAGAGAAAGATAATAGCTATTGACTTACATGCCCACTTTTTTATCTTGAAAAAATCTTTGAGAGTAATCTACGTACATATTGAGACCATCCTTAATGAAAACATGAGAGGGCAATGAACAGGTTTTACAAATGATAGTCTACAGTAGATTGCATCTTTATAATAACACAATTTACTGAAAGATGTTTATTAATTATCAATGAATGGAAGACGAAAAGAGGCACATTTGAGATTGATGTCAGGAAAAATTTCCTAATAATGAGAAATGTTCCAAAATGGAATGGGGTGCCCAGAGAGGTGGTTGGTTCCTCCTCCTTGGAGGTCTTCAGACAGAGACTAGATGACCCCTTGTCAGCTATGTTGAAGTGGAGAATTTTTTTTCCAGCATAGATTGGACTAGATGGTCATTAAAGTCCCCTTCAATTATGAAACTGTATGATTGTGTGATGATTAAAATCTTGAATGGCCTGGGGAAGTAGTGTGAGCTTCACAGAGATTGGGGTTGTTTTGTAGCCATCAAGCACCTGGGCCAGGAGCATTGATTGAAAGACACCTGCAGCAAAAGGCAGTGGAGTGAGCTAGGCATGCCGTCTCCAGCTCAGCCAGATAAGGCCTCATTGAGAAGGTAGGTAAGCACTTTCTGAATAGGGATTATTTCAATTTTTTGCATTCTGTACCCTCAGCACCTAGCAACAAGAAATGCTTGTTGATGAGTTGTTCTTTTTGCTTATATAAAAAATATTGACCATCTATCAAGTAGATTGTATTTGCTTCACCTGTAGTAGCAAGGGACTGAAAAACATCTCAGAATAACGCCTGTCTTTGACTTGCAAGCTGTGGTTGGGCTGGAGAGCTATGGCCACATGATGGCTCCAGAGCCATTTGTAATCCAGTCATACACTCCAGAAAGGCTGAAATAGATTTGTCTACTTGCAGACCAGACTTTGCCACCATCACTCTCTGCTGGGATGCTTCTGCAGCTGCCTCTTTGCAAACCCAACCTGGAAAAGTGAGAGAAAAAGTTGATGAAAATAACATATTATCTGTCTAAGATGGCTTCAATGAAGGTTTATCTACAAACACGTTTATTGCAATAAGCTAAGGGAGTATTATTCTAGCTGGTTTGTTAGAGGTGGGAGATAATGAATGGACAAAAAAAATTCTGTGCCTAGTAGGGAGATGAGACACAAACACAAATAACTATAAATTGTGACATTATATGATAAATGCATAGTAGAGTTGTCACACAACATACAGGGCATCCCAAAAGTGTTATTGTTAAGGTTTAAAATTTCAGTAAGATATGGTAGACATGAGGTCTGAGAGGATATAGAGAGTCTACTTGGCTATCCTTGGCAATGTTACAATTACCACCGAGATAGCCAGTTGCCTTTCAGGTGTATGAAATGACAAGAGAGAAAGAGATGGGGGAAGAAGGGGAGGAGAGCGGGGAATAGAGGAGTAGGGGGAGGGGAGAGAGAGAGAGAGAGAGAGAGAGAGAGAGAGAGAGAGAGAGAGAGAGAGAGAGAGAGAGGAGTGCAAAATGCATTATGTTGCCTCTAATCTTCGAGAGAGAGAGAGAGAAACTAAGCTGGCCAAGATCTCAGCCAGAAGGAAGTGTCTAGGAGCCTGTGACCTGATTGAACCAGAGGTATTAAATGGGGCTTAAGCATCCAGGTCTTCTGAAGCCTCTTCCTCTTGGTCTTGCTTTCTTCTTGGAGAATGTAGGGAAGGGTGTGATCTTCTACCCTCTTGCTGTCTTTCCTGTTGGGCAGAAGAGCAGTATTCTCCTCTTTCCCTTTTGTCCTGGTGGGCAGATTGTAGCACGCTTCACTCTAGGATGGAAGCCAACGCAATAACCTTTGGCCAAGTGACTGTGATCCATTTCCATC